GGGCGTAGGACTACACAAACAGAGTGGATTTTTTCTATAACACCTATTGTGACCATAAACCAGAAAAAGAAGACTACATTTATGCTTTTGACCTAATGAAATTATCTTTATTTTGCTTTTCATTTATTGGCTTATTGTCATTGGGTGTTGATGAGGTAACACACATAGACTCTGTTGTTTAGATGAGCCTCTTCCCGTTAAGTGTGTGTGCATTTTGCATACATTGGTGAATATTAAGCATGTTTTTGGAACAACATTGTTGCTGGAAGCTCTTGTGGATCTGGTACCGGGTCCGTCGGGTTCAAGTTGTGTGATGCATAAGATGGTAATGGTAATTTGGCATTCCTAGTGGTGATATATGGTTAATGCATCTGAAAACTGACTTGCAAAAATGCGCCCCACCGAAATAAATAAAAAATCACCAGCCGCCACCGTTGATATCATATGAATTCAGGTCAACTGTATGAATGTTGTCAAGCGGCGTCAGCTGCAGCGTGGAGCGTTGGACTAAAAGGGGCTTGTAAAGGAAATGGGAAAGGTCGGTTAAACAGACCTGGCTTGGGTTTCAGGAGTCTGATGTTGAGAAGAAAAACATTCTCAGTCAAATATTCTGGGCAACAATTTTGACATCTCCTGTGATTTCATATCAAATATCTCTTCTCAGTTTAAGCTTTTATTTTCTATTAATTAACAACATTTGCATCGTCTCTCTCTCTCTCTCTCTCTCTCTCTCTCTCTCTCTCTCTCTCTCTCTCTCTCTCTCTCTCTCTCTCACTCTCTCTTTCTCTCTGTCTCTCATTGGCTCCATGGACACCACAGTCATGTCGGCCCCAGGGCAGCTGTGGCTACACTGCTCATCACCATCAGTGTGTGTGTGTGTGTGTGTGTGTGTGTGTGTGTGTGTGTGTGTGTGTGTGTGTGAATGAATGATACACTGTAGTGCAAAGCACTTTGGAGTCCTCTGACTCTGATAGGCGCTATACATGTGCGGGTCATTTATCATTACCATACAGCAGCTGATCCGGTGATAAAGAATGAACCTCAAACCTTATTTAAATATTGTCAACAGAAAACAATTAAATCAATCAGGAAAACAGGAAGAAAAGTTATTTGTGTTTTTACATTTTCACTTCAGTTCAGAATTTTGTGTTTTCATCACATTTAACTTGTATTTTATTTCAGATTTTATTACCTTTATTGGTTTTATGAACCTTTTGTGTTACATTGTTTAGCAAAAGAATCATAACACAACATGAAACGTATTTGAAATGTCATATATACAGAATACAGATACACATTTTAGGGTGCATGGCCCATTCCTGCCCAAATTAATAAACCAGCTTTCATCAATGAAAAGAGCAAAAAAAACAAACACCAACATGAAGGAAAACCGGAGCAGGGCTGTGCAGCTGCTGACTCTGCTCGTGAGAGAGCGCATGAAGCCTCGTTCACACCAAATGCAGAGTGGATGTGGTCCAGTTTCACAAAGATCAGACATCATTGAGTCCAATCGGCTGCAGTGTGGATCCGGATGCAGAGCTCTGGAAAGTTTCCGCATGGAGTCTGTTTTTCCTGGATGCCACATGAGGATTGTTATAAAGATAAAGAATTGACCTGAGCCAGACAGGAAGTGAGACATGGTTCAGCTTTAATGAGACTGAATAAAATAATTTTGTACGTTCTACTTTTGGAGAATTACCAACATGTTTGACTAAGGGGGTATAGTGTTGTGATGAAATGGCTCAGGGGGTCCACAAGTCAAAAACAAAACCCTGTCTTACTATATTCTGTCATAAGTTAAAGCTCAACTCTGCCTCCTGCTGAACTTTAACATGTGAACCCTGTGCAGTGCTTCCCAACTCAGTGGGTAATCGTGCTAATTAAAGGTGATCTCATTCATGACCACATAAAAAATAAACAGTATGATTAAACAGCTCTACTGCACACTTACAATTAAATGAAAAGTGAAAATAAGAGGATTCCTTACAGCAGTTGTTTGAACACTGAACAACAGGGAAGATGAACATTTGACAAACAAGAACTCATGATTTATGATGTAGCTTCTGCTCTTCTAAGCCTCCTTCTACTGTCGCTGTCAACAGTAGGCAAAGAGAAACATTAAAACTAAACAACATGTAGCTCTAAACCGTTCCCACCTTGTTATTGACAGTTTATGATGCAGGGAAGTTAGCTGACGCTGATGGTGCTCTGCCAAGGCCGCACTGCAGACACATAGACTCCCCTGTTTCTGAAGTTTATCGCCTTCAGTCGGGTTTTCATTATATATCGATGCTAAATTGGACCAAGATCAAGTTGCATTGTTACACTGGAAAATGTCATTGATTATCTATAGCTGAAGGAAAGCTGCCCCGCAGGATTGTCCTGGGGGAGGAAAACAAAAGTGGCACAGACTGCTCGCTTCACACAACCACCTTCATGAAGCTTTGAGTGTCTCCTTATCATTTAAAAAGGTATTTCCGTCATTTAAAAAAAAACATCACAGTTGATTAAAATGTCTTTGCAAAATGTTGTTTCAAATTTTTAAACAGAATATTTGACTGTTGTATTTTTACAGAGTATACCGGCTTCTGTGTTTGTGCTCTTTCCTACAGTTTACCCATTTTATGTCACAGTGTAGCAACAGCTATCGCTCTTCTAGTGCTATTGCTTAATTTTGGAGCACACACACACACACACACGCACGACGCACGCACGCACACACACACAAATCTCACATGTAAAATAAGCTATTGTTTCAGGATTCTTGTGAGACTGAAGCGGTTCTTTCCTCTCTGGAGGAGCCGAGCGTTTGTAGTGAAACTCTTAATTACCCAGGACAGGATATGGAGAAACTACAGCAAATGCCCTGTAGTCACATATAACACAACCACACTCAGTGAGAAGAAAGCACACACAGAAATAAAAATACTTCCCTTTTTCCTCTTCATTATGCACATCGTTCCCATGATTCTTGTCACTTGTTGTTATCAGATATTTCTGCTTTTCTAGAAGGAATTCTGGATGTCTTTTCTCCTCCTGTTTTGTATTTTTGTGTAGTTTTCTTCCCATGATCTGAATCCTCAGGAGAAAGCTTGCTGTTGAGTTTCTAAGAGTTTTTCTGTCGATGGACCGTTTGTTCCAAGGTTAAACTTTATTATTGTTTTTTTTTTTCTTTTCTTTTTCATTTTAGTTTCTCTGTGAAGAAACTGCTGCGTTGATTGAAACCATAAATCTGTTTGACAGAAGAGCCTGAGGTTGGACTGACCCTCACTCTGATCCTGTAGGTTAAATGTCAACTCTGTTCAGCGATTCCTTCAAGTTCAGCTGGAAAACTTCACACAGTTCTTGGAAATCAAAGATTTTAACCCCTTTTTAGTCTCAATTAATTATTTGTGAATCGTTGAATTACCAGAACACCTCAAATGATTAAAAACGGGTGAAATTTGAGCTAGCAAGATTAACAAAATCCCTTACTTTTGTTTTAAAATCAAAACATATTTTAAAATCTAACGTTTAAAACATTCACGCTCCTACCTTCAAGTTATGAGGCTCAGCTCAGAAAGTAGAACAGGTTGTCCTGTAATCTGAAGGTTGCAGGCTCGATCCCGGCTCCCACCAGAGAATGCTGCTGGTGTGTCCTTGGGCAAGACACTTAACCCACCTTACTTGCTGATGGGGGTCGGAGGGACCGCTGGCGCCTGAGTGGCAGGCCCCGCCTCTGTCAGTGTACCCCAGGGCAGCTGTGCTACATCGTAGCTCATCATCACCAGCGTGTGAATGTGTGTGTGTGTGTGTGTGTGTGTGTGTGTGTGTGTGTGTGTGTGTGTGTGTGTGTGTGTGTGTGTGTGTGAATGGGTGATTGTGTTATGAAGCGACTTGGGGGGTTTTAGAACCTTAAGAAGGTGTTTTACAAATACAGGCCATTTTCAGTAAGAATGACAGCTGGACATCCCTTCATTACTCAGCTAAAGTTGTTTAGTGTCACATTTATTTATTTGTTTGTTTGTTTATTTATTTATTTAACCTGTGACAGATGGTTAGATAGAAAAATCATAAATCATAAAAATTCAATATTCTATTCACAGCCGTTTTTGCGCCTGCAATATTCCGACTTTTAATGTCTGGCAACATTATTTAAGCTTCAAAGTCCCAAAAAGTAATTTAAAAGAAATGTTCCAGGTCTAATATTTGTTTTAAAGATCCAATAACTACATGAATGCTGATGTACACGTCTGCCTCAATCCGAATCATTTTTAGGAATCAATCTTCACATAAATAAACCCAACAGTTTGTATAAATGAGGTTTCAGGTAGATGAAATATAAAAAGTTATTTTTTGCATAAATATAAATGAAACTGTTAATTTTGTGGCATTTTATGAGGTTTCCTTCATATTTTTTAGTTATAAAATGTATTAGTTTATTATCTTCATGCTGTTTACATTTTAAATACACCATGATTGAGTGAAGCTCAGGATTTTATTAGAAATCGTCTTGCTGGTTTATTTAGTATTTAGCCACTTTTAATTCTGTCAGATTAAATGAACTGCAGCATGAAAACTGCACACATTAACACAAAGAGTTGGCTTTTTAAGTGAACACACACACGGGGAATTGTTTTCTGAGCACTGAATGTTTCCACTTTACAATGAAAGCACGTAAACCAACACCAAACGTTTGAATTTATGTTTATTTTCTCTTAGATCAGAAACAAAACTTTCCTCATAAATAAATATTAACCATTTAAAAATAATTTTAACATTTACTGATTACTTACTGAACTCTGTAAGGAAAATATATTACCCACAAGTCATCTTAACTTCATGAACTGTCTCATAAAGCAAAATAAACACGAGTAGATGGCTCAGGTGACCTAATCTGTTTTATGATTTTTGTTGAATCCTTTTTATTTTATGATGTGACGAGCATCAGTTTTTTTCCTAACTGAAAATCTCATCTACCCGTTTGAACACGCTCTCGTCTGTATTCTCCTCCTCCGCAGGTTCGAGCCAGTGCCATCGCTCAAGATGCTGACCAGAACTACGACTACGCCTCCAACAGCGTCATCCTACATCTAGATGCGGGTGATGATGTTTACATCAAGTTAGATGGAGGAAAAGCTCACGGCGGCAACAACAACAAGTACAGCACCTTCTCTGGCTTCATTCTCTATGCAGACTGAGAACAGACAGACTGTCAGACCGGAGGAGACTCTGAGTTTCAAGACGAGGATGGAGGATTTGTGTGTGCTCGAAACCAGAACGCTTTCTAGTTTTCCTAGTTCCCTCCATCACCACCGTCACCTCTGCTTCATCTCCATCAGCCAAGACATCCAGGCTCTGCAAGCCAAGCCTGGATGCAAAGCTCCCCCGAGGACGCGCTGAGACTGGCTAGCAGGTGGCGTGGGAGGAGTGGGATGTAAGATGGGCTGGTTTTCTGCACTCCTTGCCACATTACCAACGTGTCAGAAGCTCCTCGCTTTCGGTGACTCTCCTTTTTAGCCCTGCTCCAACGCACAGCAGTATCAACAAAAATGACAACCCTGCAAAAGTGGATGATTTCACCTCTTTACTCCAGCGTGGCAAGCGGTCAGCCCCACGTTCTGACTGGACTGACCGGAACTTGTAGTGTCGTTCCGTACAATTTACCTAGATTGTGTTTTATTTTGTAGACGTGTATATTATTCTATACAAAAGAGATTTAGGGGAAAAATCACTATATTTGTCCCATTGTGAAGAAATCTTGTTTGAATGAGAGGTGTTACTTGTGATGCGTTCAAGAGCTCTAACAGCTGGAAAGGGATTATTTAAATTTCAGTACTCTATTGCAGTGAGTGTTTTCCTCATCATTGGGTAACTTCTGTATATATTATTTACGTGGAGATATTCTGCACTTCTAATATATATAATAAAAAGGAAACATCTCGTATTGACAATGCCCCTCCTCTGGAAACCGCCTCACACTCTTTCTTACTGTCACACAGGTCCTGCTGCTCTTCGGATTAAAGTCAAGTTTAAATAATCTTTTCATCGCTGTAGCTTTGTGTAAATGCTCCACTTGGCACAGCCAGCCATGTGAAGAGGTAAATCTGGAGATTCGGAGATCGAGTTGTGCTGATCCTTTTTTCTCTGCTGTGACCCTCTCCAAGCTTTCTTATGTGTGAAAAAAGCAGAGAAAGAGTCCGGCTTCTGATGCAGAGAGCGAGGGGGAGAAACACACACACACACACACACACACACACACACACACACACACACACACACACAGAAAAGAGGCAGAAGCCTGCGAAATGAGGAGGTAAAAAAAAACATTCAAGCAGAGTGTTCTCAGTGAGTGGGCAATTTTTCTGTTTCAGTGTCTCCGCTGGATGTCATCCATTCATTATCTGCATATTCACGACACACAGGCATTATGGTAAGATTTAGTCCGCGCAGCGCCCAGACAGCGTGCTGGAGAATGAACCTGATTGGCTGTGTGATTCGGCGTGTAATGACTGGACGTTTGAGAGTGTGTCTCTCGGTTTACGTGCACATCAGCGAGCGTATGCATTTTAGCATGTGTCGTGCCACGACGACGTCCTTTATTTTTCCAGACTTGCAGCGTTCTGTGCTACAGCCACTGATGGATCTCGAACCCAGCAGCCAATAAGATTGTGCTCATTAAAGGTGGAGCCATGGCACAAAGAGAAGAACAAACAGCTTATAATTGAATACTATGACTTGTTTATCTTATCTTTTGGAACTGTTGAATGAATTCAAATAATAAACTGATTTTTTTTTTCTTTTTGAGTGGCTTGTCTCATGAGAATTCTTGAATCCCGAATACACTAATTAGAGGAAATGATCTTCAAAGGATCTGGTTCTCTCTGTGAGACTAACCAGCTAAAGCAAACATTATGACTGGAAAAGTGTGTTTCTTGTTCTGTGTAAACACTGAATCTTAATAATGGACCCTCAGAGCAAATAATAATAAAAAAGGATCTAATCAGCAAGACCCTCATTTCTATTTTCTCTCAAAAGACCAACTTATATTTAGGGTTAAGGGCATCCAGGGAGAAATGTGTGTGTGTGTGTGTGTGTGTGTGTGTGTGTGTCCCATCCTGAAATATTTCTTGGAAAAGGCACTCTTGAAGATAATAACCTTCCAACTTGAGCAGCCTCCCACTGCTGGAGTAAAAGGCATTTCTGAATGCAGATGAGTGTCTAGGAGAATGCGGGCTATCCCTCAGATGGCAATCATGGTGTCTTTTAACAGATTCTTTTAGACAGAGGCAAGATATACCCAGTGAGAAAGTGAGGATGGAGGAAAAAAGACAGTGAGGGAAAAGACAGAACGAGATAGGCGAGGAGCAGAATATAGTTTGACAAAGACAGATGGAGACGCAAGAGAAAGAGTAGGCCATAGAGGGAGGTAATGGGGAGGGAATAGATAAGGGGATGGGGGTGTAAAGTGAAATCTAAGGAAGACAGACAGACACTGAGGCAGACTGGTGCCGATTTAGGGCGACGAGGGAGGAGTGCTGGATTGTTTTCAGGGTAGAGCGATTCCCATCGGGACTGTGTAAGGTGTCAGGAGAGATTAGTGAGCGTGAAGCCGAAGGGGAGAGCTTGAGATAGCCGAGATTGGACAAGTGTCAAGGACTGGACATTCCTCAGACCTGCCAGGAATGGGATGTGACACTGCCTGTGCCACCTTGATGTCAGGAAAGACATCCACCCTCCTGTCCATCATTTCCCTGAAACGTACAAGTTCATTCCACACATGACTGATAAGGAATAACACACATTAAAATGAGAGCGTTATTTATTCAGATGACATTTTAGACTTATTCTCTTAGTCGATTATGCGATCTAGATCTCTAAACATTCTCATATTCCTTGTGGAGGTGCACTTTAATTCAGGCTGCACCAGTGGTGGCTGGTGAAAACAATTCTTGGTGGGGCGTCCCACTCCAGTATCTAATCAACAGTTAATAAAGGTCTGCAGTTCCACAGCAATCACTCATTTTACACCTCAAAGTGCAAGACTCAATACCACCACTAGTTGGCACAAACATGACATAGAAATCAAATTAGATATACTGATTTAAACAGTATGATTACTTAAAATAAGAATACATAACAGCAGGGGAGCTGTTGGCCAGCGCCCCAGAGGCATTAAATTCATCCATCCATGCATACCTTTTCGACCGCTTATCAGGGGTCGGGTCGTGGGGGTAGAATTCTAAGCAGGGAGACTTCCCTCTTTTCAGGCACTTGGGCCAGCACCTCTGGGGGAATCTCAAGGCGTTCCCTGGTCTGCCAAGAGAAATAGTCCCTCCAGCGTGCCCGGGGTCTTCCTTTAGATTTTCTCCCGGTTAGACATGCCTGGAAAACCTCACCAGGGAGGCATCCTAACTAGATGCCCAAGCCATCTCAACTGGCTCATTTCAGCTGCTTGCATCCACAATCTCATTCTTTCGGTCACTTACCCTAAGCTCGTGACCATAGGTGAGGGTAGGAACATAGATGACCGGTAAATCTAGAGCTTTGCCTTCCGGCTCAGCTCTCTCTTCATCACACACCGGTATAACGCCTGCATCACTGCAGATGCAGCACCAATCCGCCTACTGATCTCACGCTCCATCTTTCCCTCACTCGTGAACAAGACCCCAAGATACTTAAACTGCACCACTTGGGGCAGGACCTCATCCCTGACCCGGAGAAGGCATTCTACCCTTTTCTGACTCACGACCATGGTCTCGGATTTAGAGGAGCTGAGTCTCATCCCAGCTGCTTCACACTCGGCTAGGAACCACTCCAATGAGGGCCGGAGATCATGTTCTGATGAAGCCAACAGGACCACATCATCTGTAAAAAGCAGAGACAGTCCTCAGTCCTTAGGCCACCAAAACGGATCCCCTCAGGAGTGTTATCTCCTGCAGTCGGAACACACCCTTTGTGAATAGGTGGACCACCATCACGGTTCGGCAAATCCAGTGGAACCGCTTCCGATGTCCACGCAATTTTGCAGAGCTGCATCAGCCAATACAACCCTACAAAGTGCAGAGCCTTAAAGAACTCTGGGTGGATCTCATCCACCCTCCGGAGCCTTGCCACCAAGGAGCTTTTTGACCACCTCAGTGACCTCAGCCCCAGAGGTCAGAAAGTCCAACCCAACGTCCCTGGACTCTGCTTCCGCACTGGAAGACATGCCAGTGGGGTTGAGGAGGTCTTCAAAGTGCTCTGCCCACTGATCCTCATTATCCTGGGTAGAAGTCAGCAGCACATTGTCCCCACTATAAACAGGGTTGGTAGCACACTGCTTTCCCCTCCCAAGGCGCCGGATGATGTACCGGAATCTCCTCGAAGCTGTACGGAAGTCTTGTTCCATGGTCTCACCAAATTCTCCCACTCCCGGGTTTTTGCCTCTGCTACCACCCAAGCCAAATTCTTAAAATCTGGCCAAAGCTAACAGTAGAATTTTAGATACTTAGCTACAGCAAGGCAATAAACAATCTTAAAAACTCCGAGGCTGATCAGTACCTACATACAAACAAGGTTGGTCGTGCTTTGTTGAATTAAGTGGGGCACAATCTTATTTACTTAACAGCAAACGTAGAGCCGAGTCAGAGTCTTCAATCCCTCACCTAGCCTGGGTTTTAATGTTAGTTTCAACATCCAACTGCAGGAAGGCACTTTCAGGTTAACAACTGTAGTCTAAACGCACGTTACATTAAAACGATTCAGAAAGTTGTACACATGAAATCATACCTGTTGTTCTTGTGAGACTGCTGTCAAACCTCTTTACGACTTGGTGTCTCTTCTCCAGAGGTTTGTGATATCCAACAACAAAGCAGGATGAGGGTGTTCCTCTGGGTTTTTCACAATAAAATAAAAGTAACGCACAAATACAGTTTGTGGCGGTTTCCAAGTTAAGATTTTTCAGGAACATGCCTCTGGGTTCGTCATCTGCGGGGAGGCGGTGAACGCTGCACCAACGCCGGCAGCCACACTCTCTCTTACTCCGAGGTCCATGTTCTAAACATCGCTCTTGTAGCCACAAATTTAGTTTTCTCTGGTTGTTTGTACAACCACCAACAGAGCAAGCCACGCAAGTAAATTTTTCAGGGGGTAAATCATTTCTAAAATCCTTTTCAAATGTTCAAATGAACTGCTATGAGCAACTAAATGTCACCATGTAGACCAATAGGTATGCGCTAGTTCACCAGATATGGCTAAAATCATCGTTTCTCCATAAAAAACATGAAAAATAAGGTGGAAACAGTTCCATGTTGCCATGACAATTCTGATAAATGGTAAATGACACACGCTTGCATAGCACTTTTGTGAGTCAGAAGACTCTAAATGTTTTTACACTACAGTCATTCACCAATTCACACACTGGTGGTGGTGAGCTGCATCGTACCCAAAGCTGCCCTGGGGCACACCAACAGGGGCAAGGCCACAGGCGCCACCGATCCCTGCAAACACCTCCAGCAGGCAAGGAGGGTGAAGTGGCTTTCCCAAGGACACAACTGACACGACTGATGTAACCTGCAACCCACCGATTATTTACTGATATAGACTCAGCTGCTTTATACCTCACAGCTGACACCACGCCATGTCATGTTGTACCATTGTAGCCAACAACAAAGGCTGACTCAAATTTAAATGTAATGCAGATTTTAACCCTAACCTTTTTAACCTGAAGAGAGTACAGCACGGTCAGTTTTTGGCTGGACATTTAAATTTTCAATAACATGCATTAAAATTCCAAAATAATGACTGCATGTGTCTACAGCACTATTTGACACCTAGTCCTGTAGTTTGGGGGGACGTGCTCTTTAAATTCACTGATGCTGATTGGTCAAAAATTCACCAGCTCTCTGTGTACAGTAGCTGCAGTTTAGGGGCGTTTTGTACAGTGCCCCAGGAGTGAAAGTAATGAGTCTGTTGGAGGTGGTGGTGGTGGTGGTGGTGTGTGTGTGTTTAGTGATGGTTCAGGGAGAGGGTTTGAAGAGAGACAATTGAAAGCAGAAACTGAACATACAGTCAGGTTTTCTCAGTGAGTCCCCACTCAACCCTTACATAAAATGTATTAATTGATTTCTCAACAAAGAAGCTTTAATATTTGTGCTTTATGTACATTTTGTGATTTTTTACTGTTCCTTTGTTCAAGAAAGTTCTGAAAAAAGTCCTCACTCAAGGGATGAGTCAAGAATGAGTGTGTGACAAAGACAGGCTGCTTGTAGAAAGGTTGTAGACAAACAAGGTAGAAAACTATCGGACTGGACCACAGGCTGTGGATTTATCTGACATTCTCTTATAGTCTGGATTTCACCAGAAACATGAGTGGTGGGTGCTTGTTTTGCTCACTTTCAACAAAGCTGTTGCTAGCTGAAGCTAACAGCTCAGGCTGGAGACCCAGCTACCCCTGTTTCACACTGAAAGCATCAGCGGCAGCAGAGCACCAGTGGAACAGTGCTACTTCAAATGGAATCAATGAAAGTCTATGGGGTGTTTTTAACCAGCTGCAACATGACTTCAGGGGCATCCCAGAAGCGATACCCTGCTGCATAATTTTCAGATAAAGAAGTACTGCTGTTGCAATTTCATAAATATGAAGCTTATGTGTGACCCAGCGGCTTATTTACTCACAACATCATTCCAAAAGTGCAGCGGCGTGTTTTTCATGGCAGTGGAGAGGAACATCATATATGACATCCAACAGCGATATCGTACATGATTTCCTTTTTTTTTTTTTTTGGTTAAATGGTGGATTGCATAAACAAACCGTGACCTACAGT